ATTGGATATTTTTAGTGACAAATATCACAACTTCAGGAATGTCATCCAAAAACATTTTACTTGTGAAGTTAACAGTATTTAGCGAGCTATCTTTGTGTATTTGTTTTGCTTAATTTTGTCTGTTTTTGCTATTTGTATATATACAAAATGTATACAAAATGTTGCATGTAAAGATTTAGTTATTGTATATTGATCTAGTTATATACAGGTATATAGACAAACTGGTAATAATCTCGTGCTTTCAAAATAATACCTTTATGTAATGCAGTGCATACATAGTAGGTACTAATTTTAAATGTTTCGTCTTTATATTTAACGCATCTGTACGCATTTAGTTGATAAGACTTATTAAATAAAATAAATAAATAATACATCTCACGTGTTATTTCGGCAGTTCTATTTAAATTTGTAATTAAATGACATTTTATTTGAGCAGGTAATAAAGTTGCTATGGAAGCTTAATTAAAATCGAATATTAATTCGAATCAGTAATTCACGGTCCATCAGATATTAAATTGGGATGCCATCCAAAAGAGGATTTCATTCGAAAAACCACAATGCAAAGCTCATATTCCAGATTGTAACGACTTATGTGCGAATGTTTTGAATAAATTTGTGCTCTATTGCTTGTAGTTAATGTTTAGGATTGCTTGGAACTGTAAGTTTTTATAGGGGATTAAAAAGGGGAGACGCGGGAAAAATGGAAAGCGACGGCTGAGAGCCGTGATAGCGCAATGAAAGCGTGGTGGGCGGACACAGGGCTGCGCCAAGCGTACTTGAGATATTTTCAATAACGCAAAAAAAGCAAATTAAAATAGCTTAATGCAACCTACTATACCTAATGTGTACTACCTGAGGAAACATAAAGCATTTTTGGAAGCTTAATTGTTATTGGCTTCTTGTAACCCAGTGTTCAACTATAAAATTGGAATATTTGTCTGTAATTTCAGAAACAATGCCAACGTCAAAGGGCTGCTCTTTACACAATGCCCAAATTATTTTTTTATTTATTATATCAAGTGGCCGGGACGTACATGTCATTCAGAGCCTTAAATCACAAAAATCTAAGAGGCACTCTGCCACTGCGTCCATTACCCTGGTAAACATACTTGACAATACCATGTGCATGAAGTTTGACAACATCCTTACCTTTCAAACAGAAACGCAGTAATGTTCACATTGCTCCTTGGTGGCAGTTCCCGAACTCTTTCATAAGAAGTTCTGCTGCCATATGGCTGCCACCGATTCTGTAATAGATATAAATTCAATTGGATTTTTTTTAAATTTCTTGTAATCAACACATGGCGCCGCGGCGGCGCGGGCGGTGTTTTTTGCCGTGTTCATTAAGGTAGCTACTCGGTGACACTGAATTGATTGGTTTCTTGGTATTGAATTTTTGAAATTTCGCGTTGCATTGTACACATATAACATTTGAAACGGGGAATAAATGCGTTTGAACACTAATAGGTGTGAAAATACCTAACGCGTTTGTCCACGTTTTCAAATGTTAATTTATTATAGAAATAAAAAAGTGAAAAACTCAATTGAAAAGGCTTATGTAAGAACGTATTGCACTTACTGACGTCAACGGGAATAAACGATATACTATTCGACGGATTTGCGCATCAGGTACTCTTTTCTTTTTAACCGACTTCAAAAAAAGGAGGAGGTTCTCAATTCGACTGATATCTTTATATGTATGTATTACGCAATTACTCCAACATTTCTGACACTTCGGAGAAATCGCGTAACATACACAAAAAAATATGTACAATCGAATTGAGAACACGTCCCGTTATTTAAGTCGGTTAAAAATAAAAGAGTACCTGGTGCGCATCTTGTATCGACAGATAACCCTAAGTAACAACGGGGTGAAAAAATAAAAAGCGAACCATATTGGCCCCACAAGTTCAATTAACGTGAGCCTCCGGGCTCACATTGTGACAGATTTCCTCCCATTTATTTTCATACGTTTCACACAACAGTTAACACTCAATTATTATTTGAATTGGCCATTTAACAGCTACTTTACTACCTATTTATGTCTACGGTTTTGTTAATGACTTCAAAAATACGTCGCAAGATGCTTTTTCTAAATTAGAGGACAAGAAACAAAGGCATAATACAAAAGTTCAAAAAACTTCAAATATAATGCTTTAGATATCACTAGCCAGGGCTGGTAGCTGTAAAGGTGCCTAACTGGGTGACGAAATCTATATCATAAATGGCGTTACGGCAAAAAAGTCATTAAAAACCAGATACAAAAATCCAACAACAAGCACATAGGGAAATTCGTGAGGTCCGCTGGTCGTTCCGTGACTTAATTGGCATAGCGTCTGGCACGGTTTGCTAGAAAACATCGGTTCGAATCCGGCCGGATCGAAGGATTTTTTTCAAACTATCTTTGTATTAATAATTATAACAAACTATTGGAGTAATTTCACAAAAAAATAATTAATATCATGGTGGTGAAAGGTACTGACATCCAACAAAACGTTTAAGCTTAGATGCTATTAAAAAAAGTTGCAGAGTTTTTCAAGAAAATTGTTAAATAAAACGTGATAGAATCACAATATCTAACAAACACATAATATTCGCAAAGGTTCTTGAAAAAGAATGCAAGTTTATATCTCGTGTCATGTTTTGCATAATTCTAGAATAATTTCGATCTCTTCATTGTATTTTAATTGATAATGTATGTGTGTATGGGTGTGTTGTTCATTTATTTCATTTAATAAAATTAAATCTATAATACACATTAAAAAAAATTACAATAACAACTAAAAAAAAAATTAAAATAAAGAGTTTAGAACTATACATTTTAGTAACAATAGAGAAAGAGTTCCACCAGGGAAGAACTGCCACCTTACCTATTTCAGTCCCCAAACAGTAATATGAGCATTACTGCGTTCCAGTTTCGAAGGGAAAGGGTGCTCGTGAAATTACAGGCACATAGGACTTGTCTACTTATGTCTCAGTGTGACGGGCACAGTGGCAGTGCCCCTAAGACCTTTGTAGTTTAAAGCTCTGAGTGACACTCGAACTGCTATGGAGAGGCGCGTCGCTTACCACCAGCCGCCAAACTTGTTCTTTCCGTCATTTGCTAACATAAAAAAAGTATCTGTACCTAATTTGTTAACAGCCTGTAGCAGCTTGTTCGTCCCGTCACTGGGTATTGTATAAAAAAATCTATAAGTATAATAAGTCTTTCAATATATAAAATAGAGAAACAAATTAGTAACATTTTTATTATTATTTTTGTTATTATCTGTACATTTATATCTGTCATAGTGCTTTACAATTTGTAAAAAAAATATTTTCATTACCTTTTTCATTTACCTTTCTTTTTGTATACGAGAATTCCAATAAAATCGTTATCAATTTCACTTTTTCGTGACAACGGAACCTACCACATACGAACAGTAAAATAAACTGTGCAAATACGTTGAATACTTTTATCTAACAAAAATGCACCAAGGACTAAAAGAGTATTCTTCGTGTTACTGATCATAAACATTCTTCCTATCACCCTTGTCATGACTGCTGTGTAATTTAAACAGGTTGTAAGGTTTTTTTATGATACCAAGTGTCGATACGAACAAGTCGTGCGTTACAGTGCCACTCAGAGCTATAAATCACAAAGATCTGAGTGGCACTGCTACTGCCCCCGTCACCGTGAGACATAAGTTGACAAGTCCCAATGTGCCTGTCCTAATTTCGCCAGCACCCTTACCCTTCTAAGCCGGATCGCAGTAATATTCATATTACTTCTTGGCGGCAGAAATAGGTAAAGTCGCAGTACTTGCCTGGACGAATTCTTTTACAAGGAACTCTACTGCTACTAAAAATATTGTTTTAAAAGGTGGCAAAAGGGTCTAAAAAACTGAAGACTTATTGATTTACATTGACTCAGTGCACTAATGTATGTATGTAATTTCAACTGATATTTTAATAAATTTAAGACTCATAATGTAGATTAAAAACATTAATATCACATCACTAACTACCTAATAGGTTAAAATCGTGTACGCACTATGTATTTATTTATTAAATCATCGAAAACTTTTTATCGTTGTACCTCATCTCTAACAAATGCAGTAAAATGAAGTAATCTTTGTGCAAGGGGTCTACTCTCGATCTCCGTCCGATATCCGTCCGAAACAATTACTGCCAAATAAGCAATACTTGACCAAATGAAAAGACGCGAATGCGAATGGAGCTTCATACTTGATACTTGTCTTTTAATTTTGTCGACTATTACTTATTTGACAGTAATTGTTTCGGACCGACGTCAGACGGAGATCGAGTGTAGAGCCCCAGGGTCAAGAGTACATCAAGCTTTACACTTAAGATTTAAATCTAACTTTACGCCGCTTACGATAAGAACGGTCCAAAGTACAAAGTGTCAAGCTTGAATAGCTCTTGGCGTTGTCGTAAAGATAAAGTAATTTAAAAAATAATTGTTTCTCTAGTTATTTCTAATTTGATGTAACTTTTACTTTAATTTTATGAATTTATTTTTAACAAAATCTATTCACTTAAAGCGAGACATAGTCCTTTAGGACCGACTCCAAAACTACAACGAATTTATTACATCTGAACTATTTACTATAGGTAATTCGGGGTCGCAGATTTTAAATCTGGTCGCCTTTCCGATTTTCCGACGCCATCTTGGAACAACTAGATACCAACAATTGTGTTATTCTTGGTCCTTCATTTCCTAAGTACAATTGTGAGTGTTACGATTGTATCGGGTTGAGCCAGTCATTACCCATAAACAATTCAGTGTGGGCTTAACCATTCAATTTCCTAATTTATATTCAACGTAGTCTATCTAAAATAGTCATTTTATTTATAAAAATAAAATAATTTATTGAAAAAATCTCAAATATTTCTTTTCACAAAATAAATCGACATCGACAAAATAAATCATCATTTGATATTTTGCATGCGTTAGAACATCTCCTGAAGGACGAACGCCTCTTGTTGCTATTATGGGCCTGCTTCTTCCATTTCAGTTCGCTCAAAGTAATGTTGTCATCTTCGCTATCTTCTTCGGAGCCTGAAGAAGAGAAGGTAGCATCGTCCATGACTTCATTAGGATGCAGGTGCACACCCTCTTCTTCGTCATCATCACTATCGTCTCCTGAAACACGTACTATTTCTGCGATAGCAGCAATGCTTAAAATGTTTAACCATTGTTGAATAACTATGAAAAATATAGAAATGAAATTAGTTTTAATAGACGCAAAAAGTAACGTACGGCCCAGATTGATACAATTGTGTAGGAAAAGTTAGAAACGCCACCACATCACTTCTTTTTATTTATTTATCGGTGTACGTGTATTTAAAACATTTATTGTTGACATATCTAATGAATCAACAAATAGTAATCAGCTATATTCATAAAAATATGTAGAAAATTATACTTACAATCGCCAAATCTGGAGTCACAATTTTCTATCAAACTGATCGTGTCCGAAACTGTTGGCTGACTGACGTAGGCGCGATATTTACGCGGGAGTTTAAGGCCTGGCTCTCGCACAATCGTGTGGCACGGGGCCCGTCCAATATAGACGCAAAATTGATGAGATAAATTCGATTTTGCGACCCGCACAATCGTATTAGACCGTGCCGAAAGGGTAGAAATAGTTTATAAAATACCTAAATTAGTGGACGTCGTTACAAGGTTATATTATGTAAAATTTTGTGAAGTATCACAGGAATCATCCTAGAAAAGCAGTCTATCAGCCGTATTTTGTCGACGACTGTCGTTTCGCGCGGATCGGAATAGTACTTTTATTACTATTCTATATTAGGCCGTCATTGGTGAGTAATATTCACACAATGAAAGGAGTTTCTTAAACATTTATATTTTATTTAGAATTTTAATTGTATTCATCCGAAATTTCCGTAACAAACGACTTTTTTGCTACATGGTATTGGATTGGTTGTTGTTGTTGAACAAATTTGAGTGGTACTTGTGATTTGTCCCCGATCTCATTTCAGTAATATCAAGCGAAAAATAAATTCCTATGCATTAATTTTTCGTTAGTGAAATTTGACAATTCTGTATTGCTGGTATTACTGTTGCTGTCACTTTCTTTATCACTGTAGTATGTATGTACATAGAGAGTAATTATTCTAAGGAGAGTAACATTTTTCGTTCTTCGGAACCGGCTAAGGCGTCTAAGCATGGTTTAAGCAATCTTAGCAAATCTTATTAATAAAATTTGTGGTCTATATAAGGTCTATATAGTGTTGGATCATGGAAAATTTCCATTTTGACAAAATAATTTCAGAAAATAAATATTTCTCCAGATATTTTGTCTTTAATTTTCCACATTTGACATTGCCACGTTTCAAAAGTTGAAGCTACTGAACGAAAATGATGGAGCCAATAAGGTTTTTTTTTCGCTGCGCGCTGTTGTGAAATTATTTTAAATCTCGTTTTTCATTATAAGGCTTTTAGCAATACAGGTTAATTTTATAATTCACGCTAAATAATACTTCTAAAGATATTTCTAAACATAGAACACAATATGAGCCTTCGGAATTATATTTATCCAATTTTTCTAATTTTTACTGAATATTTTCGGAAAATTACTCAAAAGTAGGTCTCTAATGTCTAAATCATACACTCTATATTGTCTAAACCATACTGTATACGTTACGTAGTATCTCATACATAATAATTTGTGCATACTGCTTAACTTAAAATAGGGAAATCAACTGCCAGCCAGCTGTCATTTAATATACCTGTCACTTCACTATTATGTCAACGTAATAGTGTTGCGCAATTATCGAATTGAACCTATCGATTATATTATTGTCAAATAGTATCAAAAAGAAATCTTCAGTGTGTCAATGTGTCGGTAAATATGTAATAAAGATTTTAAGACTTTCATGGTTATTACTAAATGATTATCATTAGTTACAGGTTTTTACCTCGGTTTAACTTCTTTTTATTTTCCACGTATTTTGTTACGGTAATACGGTCCGTGAGCAAGGCTTGACTAAAAATCGGAAAACGTAACTATATTATTCTATAACAATATGTAGCATTCGTTTGAGAATAACCTAATGACTTCGATAATTTCTAGTCCCGTCTGATAGGCACGGCCGCGGCCTCCTCTCACAACGAGAGGGCTTGGGCTGTGGATCCCACGTGGGCCCAACGCGAATTGGGAACATCACACACATAATTAACATTTGATTTGCAGATGTTACAAAAATTTGCATCGAAATGTTTACCTTCTACGAAAAGCTCATGGTAAATTCCAAATTAAATTTTGCCCATTACCTAATTCTGAAAAAATGAGATGCAAGCACTAAAATTTTTAATACGTTATTTCATTTTGGGATTAACATGTACTTGTAGACCGTGTCATCATCATCATCGGCCTATCACGGTTCACTGCTGGACATAGGCCTCTTCCAATGTGCGTCATTTTGCACAATCGTCAGCTTGTCACAGACATGCTCCTAGCAGACTTGCAGATCGGTGGTCTCCACTCAAGAAGTCGTTTTTCCCATCGGTTATAGGGCCAACTCACTGCCTCTTCAGCTTACTTATTCTACCAGCTACTTCAACGACCTTAGTTCTGTTAGATAGCCATTATTTTGAACCTTGTCCTTCCGAGAAACTTATAATCAAACTCACTGTGGCGCCGTACCCCCGTCGGAACATGAAGCTTGTCGAGTCATTTGGCGAGACGATTCAATATAACTGTCGCTTGTAGACGTGGCTTAAGAATGAGATGCGCCAACAGTTTTAAAGAAGAGATTTATCTCCCTTTTAGGAGAGAACATTAGAGATAGTTTAGGTAAGCCATAGTGAAATATTAACTAGTATGTTTGATAGATAAATGGCCATAATTTGTAAACTGATAAGGTTTACCAGCAGTAACATTTTTTTTTATTAATAGTTTTGATTTGGATACAAGTCCTTTGAGCCATGTCTTCGTTTAATTATAGGGACCCTCAGTAATATTTTTCATGGTGGTTCATTATGTTTTCATTTTCACTTAAATCACATTATCTTCTATTACTTTGAACAAAAAGTTTGAATTCGTAATTATTGGAATTTTTAGGATAGTCTTTTGTAATTTGATTTAAAATAAGAAATATAGTTCTAACTTTCTTCATCACTATTTCTTTCTTCGTTTTTTCTTCACAATATACTTAAAATAAAAATAATCTTTGTAAAAGCTGTACTTATAACTTCAAAAGTCCGCCATTTTTTCCCGGCAGTAACAACCAACGTAATAGTAACATATAACGTTATCGGAGTGATGTCCGACAATCGACAGAATCTCGACTGTCTTACACCCAACACTACAACTGTATATTGTAATTTTTTGGTGATTGGTTTTACAAATATTTTTTGCCTAAATTACTGTATTATGGTACATACAATAAAAGTGAATATAATTGTAGATATTAACTAAACGTTTATCATCATGGCGAAGAAACCGAACAAGAGAGAACATAATGAAAGAACAAAGCAGACGAGTATATTCTTTCCAGTAAGTATGGTCAATCAATACGTTATTTCTTTATTTTTTAAACGTAGAAGTATTTGCAATTACTTTAAAGATTACCATCTGCAAGTGAAATGCTATCTGAGCCTCGCGAATTTGTTTAGACTAGTTTAATATATTTTAAGTGACAATTTTTTAATTTATTAACAATATAATTGTTGAAGAGCGAAGCCATCACGGTAGACTGAATGTTTAAATGGTACGCCGTGATATCTGGGAATATCTGCACTCTTGGTACTGAATAGGCCATGTACCCATGTCATACTTTCGTTACTGTCCCTCTTGACTTGATTGATAGTTAACTCTAAAAATGTGTAGGTAATGCGAGTAATATTACAATTTAACTCATCCGTAGAACAAAGACCTATGTGCCAGACAGCTTATTCTCAGGACATTGTACATTTCGTTCGCAGCTCTTAGCTGTGGATATCAGATCGACTGTTGTTTGATTTTATATTTCCGAAATGAAACAAGATACAACTATTCTGAAAATATCTATAGATGGGGCTTATTTTGAATAACGACATTCTATATTTATCTTTTTCGCTGTATAATCACATCAGACTCTGCTCTTCGGATGAGTTGGCACGACTATGTAATTGAATGTTGCTCATTATCTTGAAATATTAAACAACATTTACATCGAGTATATAGCCAGAAATAGAGACAAAATGTCATTTAATTTGTTTGAAAACTATTCTGCCATATAATTACTGTGACAACTGCACTCCGATTGGACAGCCTGAAGAAAAAATCAACAAGTTTAACTTGAGCTTTGCTATAATGGACAGAAATTGTAAAATTACATATTTAATATTTGATTACTGATGAAATTTGATTCTGTTTGTTTTGTGATTAGATGTTTTGCTGTTTTTCCCTACACCACTGAATGGAACATCACGCCATTGTTAGAGATATTATCTTTAAAATAAATACAAAATATTTTTGGAATATACGGAGACGTACACACAGGTCAGTTCGTGGTGTTGTCTATATTTCAGTGCAAATGAGAGTCAATATTTATAAGTGATGTATCACTGATGAGTTACCAGGAATGTATGGCCCTTATTTTGTCTCTATTTCTTGTTATATACTTGGTGATCATTTATACACATACAATGTAATCAATACATGACAGTTTCTTGGCCTGTTTTGAAGAAGAAACTACAGTTGATTTTTATTTGAAAACTGTTTGCCTAGATCAGACGGCAGATCCTTACAAGTGGTGATCAGCAAACGCAAAGCAGTATCCAAGCCTGTCAAAATTTGCTGAGATTTATCCATCGTCTTCTGGCTGTTTATAGTGAGAGCTATTTTCACAAACCGGAATTGTTTATGAGGAAAAGCGCAATTGTTTATAATTTTTTATTAAAATACATGTTATAATTATTAATACAAAGATCGAAACAACTAAAAAGAAGAAAGAAACTAGTGGAGTAATTTCACAAAAAGTAATTGAATATCAATTCAATAAAAATGTAATTAATACAATGAATAGCGACATCTCTCGCCAGAACTGGTAGCTGTAAAGGTACTAACTGGGTGATAAATCTGCAATAGATTTCTCATAGATGGCGCTACGACTAAAAAAGTCGTTGAAAGACCAAGTACAAAGACACGACGCAAGCACATAGAAAAATTCGTGAGGTCCGTTGGTTCGTTCCGTGGCTTAGTTGGTATAGCGTCTGGCACGGTATGCAAGAAGACGTCGGTTCGAATCCGACCGGATCGAAGGAATTTTTTCTGAGTGTTTTTTCTGAGTGTTCGATCTTTGTATTAATAATTATAACAAACTAGTGGAGTAATTTCACAAAAAGTAATTGAATACCAATTCAATAAAAATGTAATTAATACGTGATATATTTTGAATAATATGTGCTTTTTTTCATTATTTGAAATTCAGTATTCGGCCGAATAGTCGCAGTGTACGGCAGAATACCGAATATTTAAAAAAGTGGCCGAATATCGATAGCAGCCGAATATTCGCGGCATCATAGCCCAGCAATCCATATTTATTCATGACTGGTAAATTCTACAGGGATTTTACAGTAGTATATTAATAGCATCCTTTATAAACCAAGCAAATATGGATGACAATTCATTGTTGCGAAACTTTGCTCAGAGTCTGTGCAAAACTGGAACTGCCCTGAAGTACTGGATTTGCACACCCTACAAACATTTTCTGTAACAATATTTACTATTAAGATGTTTCTAACCAGACATATTTCTATTTTTAGTGGGGTAAGATCCTATTCTCAAGCATAATTGGTATTATATCTTACATGGTATACCAACAATTATGTGTGCACCCCTCACTACCCAAAATGAATCTGAACCAATGGTGGGGGCCGTATCCTATAGATAATTATGCAGATGTATCTATAAGACCATTCAAGATTCAATTTTCAAATGTGGTAAGCAAATTCGTTATATTTCTGTGCAATTAATTAAGCGATGAAAGGCATTGAAGGTAGAGTGCACTAAACCTTCAAAAATGTCCTTTTTGAATTGGTAATATTACATATCTTTAAAGCACAAGTGATGTGTTGCGGGTCCGCTTTAATAATGGCCTCAAATAGAGGGAATACCTTTCTAGATCCAGTAGGGCTAGCACGATTGGGCGCGACTAACACGAGAGCGACATAAATCGCAAGATACTGCTATTCTCGCATAGAGATCTCGCGCGACATACTTATGTCGCTCTCGCTAAAATTAAACACAATTTAATGTTACGCAGTAATATTTAGAATGTACTGGGTAATAAACTACCTCCGTGGCCGAACGGTTACCATGCTGGACTGCCACGCAGAGGTCTCAGGTTTGATTCCGGGCCGGGAGAAATACTTGTATGGCCTATATTTATTTCTCTCGTGAGTTTGGGTGTAATTTGTGGTTGTTTATGTGTATGTCCATGGCACCCGCAACACAGGGTTTCCCTATTTCGGGGCTAGGTTGAGTGTGTGCGTTATCATTATTAATCACGCATTCCCGTATCAAAACTTTCCTTTGTAGTTTTAAGATCTCGACGGCGATATTATGTTTTGAGAACCAAAATCAATTTTGGATTTGAAAAATTTATGTCCGGATTATAAATTGGGAAAATAATTCCCGCTATCTAAGGTCAGTCTAATATGTTAGAATAATTTTAAGGAGCCACACTATGTGATGAAAAAACCGACAAACAGAAGATTTTTCTCATTCTAGATGGTAAATGACCTAAAAGAGCGTCTCCTACACCGCAGACCGTTTTCACCTCCCCTTGAGGATGCTGGTTTTACCTATGGCTTTAATACAAACTTCCTAACTCGTATACTAGATTTCTGGCAGAATAAATACAATTTCAAAGAAAGAGAAAACTTTCTCAACAGATATAATCATTACAAAACTTCAATACAAGGACTAGACATTCATTATATGCATGTTAAGCCAAAAGTGGATCCAAATATTAAGGTAAGTCCTTTTTTTTAATTTCATGTTCATGCATGCATTGTTTCTGGTAACATTTAATACTGCTTTGGCGTCTATTTCCAAGGAAAGAACCTCAAGTCGTTGGGTTATTTTTCAGCGTTAGGGGATGTTTAACCATATTTTGGGTTTTTTTTTGCTGTCCAATGTTTTTCCGCTCTCGTATCCGCTCAACAGTCGACATCACGTAAGGTTTTCTCTTGTGGGACGCTCGACCAGCTTTTCATAAATGCAAGGATCAGGCGTTAGGTTAGGCGTTAGGCTTGCGTAGATTTGCCTCGACTTTGCCGCCCCTCAATGTCGCAAACAATCAAATAAACCATCAAACAAGTTAGACGAACTTGCATGTAGTTCAAACTCGGTTATCTTCTCGTACAGTCGTTCATACCGTATTATACTTATTACTATCAAATTACTCGTATCTCTTTGTAATTTGAGCAAAGCGTAAGAATACAGACAAAGCGTTTCTGGCTAACTCTAGCACTAGAGAAAAATTATGATATGATACCCATAAAAATTTATTCAAAGAAATATGACACATTATTTGATCGTTTACGGGGCGCTTTAGGAAGCGTGTGGCGAAAATTTGTCTTGACTAGTATGAAACACCTAAATGTACAACAATTTCAATTAAACTAGATACAAAACATACTACTATGTACAAATGACAGAAAATCTTACGTCAGTTGAATTGAACTGGGGCCTTACTATGAACTCTTATTACGATTCAGTTTAAGACCTAAAATAAATCTTTGTGAGACAGCGCTACATGAAGTGTGTATCATCATCCCCCTTTTTTGTCGTTAAGAACCTATATTGAACTGTAATTAGAGTTCATGGTAAGGCCCCTGGCTCCATGGCCGAACGGTAACCACGTTGGACTGCCACGCAGAGGTCTCATGTTCGATACCCGGGCCGGGAGAAATATCTATGTGTGTGTCCATGGCACCCGCTATACAGGGTTCCCCTAGAGCGATGGTTTGAATGTGTGCGTTATTAGGTATTATTGTTTCACATCTTTTCCTTTTTTTTATTATCAAGTTTTTTAATAAAATTGTTATTGTTTCTTTCGTTATGCAATTGTATTAATTTAACGTACGTATTACTGTAAATATCCATCAAAGGGAAAGTTATATACTACCATTTAAGAGAGAGACCATGCTAACCTCCCATCCCTTTATGTCATGGAAGTTTTATTTGCATTATTTGTCCGTAAGCAACCAACTATTTTGAATTGAATAAAAAAATCCCCGTCGCCAATATAACTTGATCCTCCTTGAACCTAAATTAGAAATATACAGAAACAGTTCTTTACGCAAGTCTATTTTATTCTATGATAAAATTCCAATATTAATTAAAAAGAAAATATCATTAACACATTTCAAAATAAATTAAGACAATATCTCATCCAAAAATGATACTACTCTGAAAATAAAGTCTGAAAGCTCTCATCGATCTCATTTGTTAATTAAGTATAATAAATATATATCTTTTAGTTTTTTAAGCCTCTTTGGTACACCCTGATTGTGTCATGTAGCAAACTAAATTTTATTGTAAGAACTTTTTAATGTAGATACCTGTGCAATATGGAAATAAAGTAAAACAAGAAATGTATGAAACATTATAATGTACGATCTAACATATAATCTTCATTATTAACTACACCTGTTAGCAATAAATGTCTCGTATTCTTGAAAGTATAAAGCGTGCTTTTGACTACGCACCAATATTTAATACAACAAAAATTATTTACTCAAAGTGGTTCCGAAAAGTTCTATCCAAAAATAAAAGATAATTAATTTATCATTGTAGTCGAGTTCATATAAAAAAATACAAGGTGCTCTGCAATACTGTAGATTTTTTTAAACAACTAAATGTTTTTGTTATTGATACAAAGATTCAACAAAAACAATAAAAAATTCCTTCAACCTGACTATACTTGAACCAGCGACTGCGGATTTTTGTATTGGGTTTAAACGTCTTCTATTTCTGTCGTAAAAAAATAAATTTAAATTCTACAAGAGCGATGCCACACAATGCGTCGCATCGGTGTTATGCCAAGCAACATTCCGCTGTGACGTTGCGCTGTATATATAATCAGAACGACATGTGACATTCCACACGGTGGTGTGTCAAAACAGCACGCCACCGTAAGCAACTAAGGCCCTTAATAGTGTAACGCGGAGTGTCCACAAGCGGACGGAATGATGGATGTCTCTCCGCACCCGCATCGCACCGAATATTCTCTATAGGCATAATACATTTTACCGTTGATCACGGTAGTCCGTAATCCGCGCCACACTATTAGGGGCCTCAGTACGTTGAAATCATAGCATTGATTGCGACGACGACACAACGCCCGTGCGGCATCGCTCTAAGAGTTTGTGAATCAAACTGCATTGAGTACGTTCATTGCTTGCTGATTATTTCTAGGTGCTGCCATTACTAATGCTGCATGGTTGGCCAGGCTCCATACGGGAATTCTACGAGATCATTCCAAAGCTAACCACCCCTAGGCCGGAATACAATTTTGTCTTCGAAGTCATAGCGCCTAGCTTACCAGGGTTCGGATTTTCACAGGTAAAACTAATACTATGCTTGATTTTAATAAAATTGACTAACAACGATGGAGCCCAAAAGATATTTTAGAAACTTTATTTCCAGATTTAAAGGGTATTTGACGCGGCACTAATATATTTCTCTATTTATAAATTACATGATTATGAACGGTGCGGTATTCCAGGCCATACGTATTGTTGCTGTTAGTCTAGTTACATAACTAAACTAACTTGAATTAGTAGAAACAGTGGACTCTACCCTGTCAAATCAATACACTGTTAGTCAATAACAGTATTTTGAGAAAAAGGATTTTTCGGTTTATTGTAAATTTTTAATGTTAATGATATAAAATGATACATTTTGCTTACTTCGTAATTAGATAATATAGAATTATATCCAGCCATTACATTATACTCAGCAAAATAAGCTATTTCTGTCGTCTAGATACCCAATAGTCATATATCGCACCCCTCATGGAAGAATGGCATAAGTGGAGTTAAGTCAAAAATGTTTATTGCTCCATTAGATACAGATAAATATAACCCTCATGCCCTCCAATTCTTGTAACTCTTATCTACAATATTAGTCAACATCAATTGAGCAATAAACGTTTTTGACGTAACTCCACTTATGCCATTCTTCTCTGAGGGGAGCGATATGTACAATATAGTATATTATGTTGTTAAATTTGAATACGATATTTTCATTACAATGTACTATCTGTGTACTGTATGTATCTGTCAATGTACTTTGTCTGGGTCGGAATCACTCACATATTATGTACATTTTGATGTACACGAGACCTTAAAAGGTTATTTTTTATTAAGTTTCAGAAATATGATACAATATAATAATAAAATCCTGAAAAAATAAAAATAAATAGGTAGATAATTTTTTATTTGAACAAAGCAATAATATCAATATAATAATTTAGTTTTAATAATTTAATGTTTTTGATATTTTTTTTATTACATAATTTTTTTTTGTTGTGTGCACACCCGTTATTCTAATTATTGTCTTCTGTATTTAGGTCTGCAGGGAGAAATTTCTATTACAAATAAGCGTACCTTTTGTTTGTTTTCCCTGTTACTAAATGTGTTTTTGTGTTTTCCTGTGCAATAAATGATTTAATAAAATTAAAAAATGCAGCAGCGCTAGTCCTTAGTCCGGACTTACATTTATTTTGTGTTTTAAGTCCCCGGTTTTATTAAACAAATCCCACTTCATATATTTAAAAGTTAATAATCCCAGAGTGGTGGTAAAATAACTAGAGAATTGCTAGTATTAACTAACACTATCATCACTACAAATTATCTTGATAGCAAAATTGCGAGCTCGCCTATTTATTACTTGTGTAGGAACACGAGATCAGAACTTCCTGCATAAAAGACAAATATTATTGTATACTTTGTGTGATGTCCTACGTATTGCTTTAAAATAGTGTTTTCATCTGTTTTCTGTAATATGTTACATATGAATAATAATAATATGTTACATTACAATAAAAAAATCACCGAATTAGAATATCACTGTTTTAATTATACCTATTCTTTAATTCCAGGCAGCAGCGCGTCCTGGCCTAGGCTCAGTAGAGATGGCGGTAATAATGCGAAATCTAATGGAACGAATTGGTCACCCCCAGTATTATATACAGGGTGGCGACTGGGGGCATAGCGTGGGATCCAATATGGCTACACTATTTCCTATTTCCGTATTAGGATTTCATACTAACTGCCCTATTATTCTCAACCCGCCGCATTCTATTATGCACTACATACTAGGTAAGTATATATATACAATCCAATACAAATATCCTCTAGTTCATAATGAGCAGTGATCAGAATTGAGGGTGTTAATTTACCTAAAGTATGAACGTTTTCATAGTATGGACATGCCCATTTCGTCATCAAAGCGTATAAACATTCTTTATTTTTACTGTTTAATTTCTAAACTTTTCAAGATATAGCTTGTCTCATGTTTATTTTTTAAATGGCTTAAGTATTTAAATACGTAGGTACCTATAGAAACACAACTATAACAATGTAATTTTTTTGAGACAATAATTTGTAGCAAATATTTAATAGGAAATAATAATTTGTCGCCAATGTACTCAAATTTCAATAAATATGCATATTCAAATATAATCCGTTCCGAGAAATATCGGGATTTCTAGAAGGGAATGTCCATATTATTCTTTGGTTTAGCTAAATTAACTCTCTCAATTCCTATCACTGATAATGAGACCTTACAAATTACATCCAAAGCAGAAAATTAAATTAAAATAAACCGTGTACAATACAGCGTACTCCAAAAAGTCAATTAAATCGCCATCTGTCTAATAAATAACTCATGGAGACTAAATTGATGGAGCTCAAACAGACGTTGAGAAGGTGGGTAGCTGCAGACTCTCATAGTCGCAACATCAGATCAAAGCTGTCACATTATTGTAACATCATCGGATTCTATAGTATATGAAATTTCAAGTCGATCGGACAAGTAAATTAAATATTCATTCTAAGTGAGATCATTGCACTAACTAGTTAAACAGCTGAACATATTGATACCTCCAATGAATACTACGCCTAGTAGACTTTTTGGTAATTTTCTGTTTTTAAAGTAAATAGCTTTATTTTATTTACTAGCATTATGCTCCCAAAATTTTGTGAAAAAAAAACTAAATAAACCAAAAAAAAAATAAAAACCAGAGATGACCAAAAATTAAGTTGGCATGGTGTTCATTGGAGGTATCGAGATGTTCATCAATATAGCTAAGTAATAAAAAAAAAATACCAAAGACAGATCATCCCTCACTACAACAATAACACCAGTGAAATTTGGACTCATGCTACTTTCAAAACACTAATAATTAATACCCAAAACCGTTGTTACCTCAATTGCTCGCACCGCGCAGAGCCCTCTGGCGGAGAGACCTGATCTGGCTGGCTGCATGGTGGTCCACCAAAAACGTCACAATAAACATTACGCTCAATTATAAACCATCAAGTGTATCAATGTAGATCATAGGTTCCCAGACTTCTTGACTCACTGCCCAACTGCTTAGGCAAACTAAAAAAATTTCAACGCTCACCACCACAAAAAATAATTGAAAACCCGTATAACTGAACAGAGAAAACAGAAAAAAAACAAAAAAAATACAAAAAAAATAATTTGTAGTTAAATTGTTATTGAATTGATATTCAATTATTTTTAAGTGAAATTACTCCACTAGTTTGTTATAATTATTAATCATAGATCGAACACTCAGAAAAAATGCCTTCGATCCGGCCGGATTGGAACCGACGTCTTCTAGCATACCGTGCCAGGCGCTATACCAACTAAGTCACGGAATGAACCAGCTGACAACCAGCGGAGTGCTTGTGTCGTATCTTTGTATTTGGTTTTTCAACGATTGTATTTATAGTGTTATAGATAACTCAGGTTTCTTTTGCAAATGCGGTAGCACCACTTGGACGGCATCGGCGCGCGCCCCCCAATTGCTTCCGAGGCCACTTATAGAAAATTTAGTTCTTGCTCTGACCACTAGAGGCGCTGAAATATTTTACCATACAAAATTACCAAACATTTAAAAATAATTTGTTTCTTTTTGGTACTCAGGATATAAATAATAATAATAATAATAATAACGCACACACTCAACATAGCCCCGCACTAGGGAATGCGTTACAAGAATAGATTTTGAATCACTGTGATCCACTTTGTGTCCTCACACTATAGACCATTACTTAGAGCAATCTAACACTATTGCTCCAATATGTCATTAATGTTAAATTTATTTTACAGGCTACATTTGGCCGAGTGCCGTGGTCTCCCCTATTGAGAAGAGCCGCATGTTCCCATTCTTTGACCACGTATCATTTTGGCTGGAGGAATTCGGTTATATGCATTTGCAGGCCACGAAACCTGACACTATTGGTGAATACATTTTGTTATTAGAAATAATCTCAAAAAAATTCACCAATTCATGTCACCAGTCATTATCTATGCTAGCTCATATATTAATAGATGCGAACAGAAAGAATATTACAGGAGAGCGATTAAAACAAGAAAGTTTCAACTTTTTGATGATTTTTTTTCGTAAACAAATCGCTCTCCTGTAACATTTTCCAAATGCACGTTAGACGTTTTGTCTTTCCAGCATCGATATATATTGTTTCCTTTTTAACCGACTTCAAAATAAGGAGGAGGTTCTCTATTCACTGTATGTTTTTTATCTATGTATGTTACGTGATAACTACGGCATTTGTGAACCGATTTTGATGATTCTTTTTTTGTTGGGAAAAGGGAAACCTCAGTAATGGGGAAAATTTATTACTACGGCATTTGTGAAAAATATTATTACACCTCTAACACGCTTAGAGGTGTAATATTTTTTTCACAAACTAAGGTATTAATGACTTTTGAGGTCGGTATTTTAGTATTCACTACTGATCACTTATTGTTTTTAAATATAGAGAAAGCCGAAAATTTCTAAATTTTCTGTATGGTACGCAAATTTCAAATTTTCGTCGTCTAGAAAATAATTTTGATAGAAACAAAAATCGTGTTACATGGTGTAATATATTAAAAAATTTGAATAGCTTTTATAGCTCCACTTTTCCTTCTAGGCATAGCCCTAACAGATTCCCCCGCGGGTTTGGCTGCATACATCCTAGAGAAATTCTCAACTTGGACAAATAAAGAAAACCGCAAAGCTGGCGACGGCAATCTGCTGGATAAATATGCACTCTCAAATCTGATGGATAACATAATGATATATTGGAGCACGAATAGCATAACTACATCAATGAGAATGTATGCTGAGAGCATGAGTAAAAGAGCTTTTAGTTTGAAGATGGACGAGTAAGTAATACTCCTACGCTATATAACCTAACTACAAAAGCCGTGGTAGCCTAATGGTTCGACCTTCTGCCTCGCAAGCAAAGGCCATAGTTCGCATCCGGACTCGCGCCTCCGAGTTTCTCGGAATTTTTGTGCGAAATTTAATTTAAAAGTTGAGCTTTTCGGTGAAGGAAAACAAACCTGCACGTCGAAGAAGGTGACAACCCTCTGAAAACGTGTGAAGTCCCGGACCCCCATTGGGCCAGCGTGGCGGTCTATGGCCTAAACCCTCGCCTGAGAGTCAACCCGTGCCCAATACTGGGACATCTAAATGGGTTGATGATGATAGAACGTATTTATATGTATAATACGACATAACACAATGACGCGACGGTGTGTCGCACACTCAGTGATGGCGCGAAGTCTTCGCGATCCGTCGTTTTAGACTGAGATAAGATCGGTGGTTGCCGAGTATTCTAACGATTGCCTCTCAATCGAGACGTTGACAATTCGAATCTATTCGAATTCAAAAAAAAGGTAAACAAACCTGTTTGGTTAAAATTCCTAAGAAATAATAATTATCATATCCCCTCACTAAGGGAACCTTGTGTCGCGGGTGCCATGGACACACATTGACAACCATAAATTACGCCCAAACTCACGAGAGAAATAAATGTTGGCCATTTAAATATTTCGGGAACCCGGGACCTCTGCGTAGCAGTGCAGCATGGTAACCGTTCGGCCACGGAGACAAGTCACTCAATAAACGGAATAAGTAACACTGTCATGTGAAGTTTGAAGTTTTCAACTTGATATCTCACCATCTAAGTAATCTTTAATCATAAAGATCTGATGGGCATTGCCACTGCGCCCGTCACCCTGATACACAAGTTGACAAGTCCCATGTATATAACAACACACACAAGCCTATAATTTCACCATCACCTTTCAGAACCAGAATACAGTAACGCTCACATGACTGCTTAGCAGCAGAAATAGGTAAGGTGGCAGTACTTCCCTGGACGAACTCTTCCAAAAGGAAAACTTTTTACAACATTCATTGAAATAACGTCCTAAAATAGTGTTTGAAATATGTTACTCTATAACTGAGGTGATTCGGCAAATGTACTAGAAATATGTATGGTCTATGGTTCCATAGATAACTAACTATTGAATGTTTGGTAACAAAACCTCACACTAAATGTGAAAGATAACCTCGACATGCAAGTCGAAGAGGGTGCACAATGCTTGGAAAGTCTCCAAGCTGCATCGAGTGGCAGACTATGGCCTAAATCCTGTACTCAGAGGAGAGGAGACCTGTGCCAGTGGTACGCATATTTAATTGACGACGATTGTCCCTAATAACAACAAAATTTATCTATTTTCTTGTATTGCAGAATTCCAACGGAAGTACCAACGTGGGGCATAAAGTTCAAACACGAGATCATGTACCAACCGGATGGTGTACTGAAATCCAAATACAAGAACTATTTGCATAGCACTGTAAGTAAACTTTACATTTACGCTCACATTTATAAACGGTTTGACTTCGTATAAGCAAAGATGGCGAGCTTAGCAAGTTTAAGCAAAAAATTAAACTAAAGGAGAAAGGTCACAGCATGGTCACAACCCATAGAAAATTAACCCAGTCCTGGCACAAATTAAACTTATCTCATTTGGTTATGTGAGGTAAGAAAATTCTGTATAGTTTTTGTTTTCGATATCAGTGGCTAACATGTCAATTGTTTTTGCTCAGGCGCAATAGAGTTAGGTAATGTATGTTCATGTAATAAGCAAAAACCTACCACAGTTTTTATATTCCAGTGATGCGCGCGATCGCGATGCAAAAACGCGATTGCATCGGTGCAATCACCTTTATATCCCAAGTGTAGCGATGCAATCGCGGGTTTGTATCGATGCAGTCGCGCGTTTGCATCGCTGCTTAAAATCGCGCGCGTATGTAAAGGTAGACGATTAGCGACTTCATCGCGTTTGCATCGTGTTTGCATCGCTGCTAAGAGTCGCCGTGTGTAACCGCGCGGAATGGAATAGACGCGACAATTTCGCCTCGCTGCGCGAGTGGGTGCGAGCCGCTGCTCGGACATTCCAGACTCGCCTTGAGGCTGGAATTGACCACAAAGGTCATTACGCTATGCACAATATCGTTACAAAAATTCGCTTCCATTCCGTTCCGCCGCAATATAATTGAGCCTTACAGTTAAATCTTTTTTTTTATAATACCAAGTGACGGGAAAAACGACTCGTGCGCCTGGTGGTAAGCAACGTGCCAGTACATAGCAGTTGCAGTGCCGCTCAGAGCTTTAAATCGCCAAGATTCGGGGTGCATTTCCATTGCGCCCGTCACCCTGAGACAAAGTTGACGAGTCGCATGTGCCTGTAATTTCACCAGCACCCTTCACCAGAACGCAGTAATATGAGCAATGAAATAGATGAGGTGGCAGTACTTCTCTGGACTAACTCTTTTACAAGGAGCTCTGTTAAACTGCCACTATGTTAAATCGTTATGTACCCTAGTAGTTCTATTACCGACATGCAAATTTTGCAGGTGGTGGAGGATGGTGGACATTTCGCGGCCTTCGAGAATCCTGGCATCCTGGCCGATGACGTGTTTGCAGCTGTGTATACCTTCCAACAATTCCAACTAAGTAGAATGTAAGTATATTAAACCTCTGCCATTCATTTACAGCTCTGGAGAGGTAGAGATCTCATTTGTGTGGCAAATCTTAAGATTTCTTGTGGCCACTTTACAATAATAAAAATCTGAAACATAGATATAAGATAATAAGAAAGAAGAAAGATAAGAAGAACGTTTGGTTTATTATACAAATCATTCAATTGACTAATGAAAATTTTTAGGCTTTTTTTATTATACTAAGTGACTGGACGAAGAAGACTTGCGCCTAGTGGTAAGCAACACGCCTGTCCATAACAGTTGACACACTCAGAGCTTTACCTCACAAAGATCTGAGGGGCACTGCCACTGCACCCGTCAGCCTGAGAAATAAGTTGACTAGCCCTTGTGCCTGTAATTTTACCAGCACCTTTACCCTTGAAAACCGGAATGTAGTAATGCTCACATTACTGCTTGGCGGCTGAAACAGGTAAGGTGGCAGTACTTCCCTGGACGAACTCTACAAAGCTCTACTGCTACTAAATTCGTAAGCAACACGTATGTCCATAACGCGCCACTCAGTACTTTAAATCGTAAAGACCCGAGGGGCACTGGCAATGTGCCCGTCACCCTGAGACAAGTTGACAAGTCCCATGTGCCTATAATTTTACCAGCACCCTTACCCTTGAAAACCGGAACGCATTACTGCTTGGCGGCAGTACTTGCCTTAATGAATTCTTTCACAAGAAGCTCTACTGCTAAAAACGTAACTACACATACGTATGTAAACTACTTAAAATATCATAGCAATCACGATGTCATACGAAAGGTAAGCAAAGAAACGTCACCGTATTCACCATTCGCATATTTTCTTGTGTTTTTTCTGCGTATAATCAATTCTCTTTTGACATTATCGACATTCTCTAATGACATACGGCATTTTGCTTTGGGGTAATGCCGCCGATATCAACAGAATCTTTGTCCTGCAGAAACGTGCAATTAGGGCAATTTACAATCTGGGCCCCAAAGTATCTTTGAGAGATAAGTTTAAGGAAATTAACATTCTTACACTAGCCTCACAGTACATTTATGAGAATGTAATTTATGTTAAAAGGAATAGTAATTTATTTATGAAAAATAGTGACAGACATAACATTAATACGAGGAATAGAAATAAACTAGCTTTTCTTGATAGTCGTCTTCACAAAGTCAAAAAATCATTTAAGGGGCAATGTATACATACGCTTCTATAACAAGATTCCGGTTGATATACAAAATTTGCCTTTCACGAGGTTTAAAACTATAGTGAAACAAAAACTTCATACTAAAGGTTATTATACAACTTCTGCGTACTTGGATGACAAAAATCCGTGGTAGTAACCCGTTTAGCTCATGGAGGTAGTCTCGATCTCTGATGTTTCAAATAAAAAAAATAAATATTGTAAATGTTATTTACAAAGAGCAACCCCTAGAGTTTCTTGCTCATTCTTCTCAGGGGAATCTGCCTTACGAATGAGCGGTAGAGTTTAATATTGTGACGATTTCAAGTGTAATAATGCTTACCTATGAAATAAAGATTATTTTGAATTTGAATTTGAACTCAAAACTGTAAAAATTTTAGATTAAAGACAGTAATCAATTAATACGGTACCTACCAATGACGTCACGCGTTCTGAAATGACATACAGTGCCGTTTAAACTGCATTAAAAAAATTACAAAAAGTTTTATTCGACAAAATAACATATTTTCAAGGCTGTATATTTCCATTCTAGTTAATTTTAAATTACTTTGATTCCCTGTTTACGTACGTTTTACAAAACTACATTGTGTTTCAGCAGCAGTAAAGGAATTGAATATCATTTTTTGTCTTACAGGAAAGAGAAAGGAATCGCACAACGAACTGACACCGAAGAATCAAATTCTGACGTCCAAAAAGAAACAGAAATACCAAAACAAGAGGCACCAAAAACTATTTACGACTTTACAGTCAAAGATTTACAGGGCAGAGAAGTAAAACTAGACAAATACAAAGGCTTTGTTTTAATAATTGTCAACGTAGCTACTTACTGCGGTCTCACAGACAGTAACTACAAACAATTGAATGACTTATACGAAAAATACGCCTATTCAAGAGGTCTGCGTATACTGGCTTTCCCATGCAACCAATTCGGCGGCCAAGAACCTGGGACCGAAGAAGAAATTTTAGAGTTTACTAGATCGAGAAGTGTGCAATTCGATTTGTTTGAGAAAATCGAAGTGAATGGAGACAATGCACATCCGTTATGGCAATTTTTGAAGACGTCAGTAAAAGGAACTATGGGAGATTTCATTAAATGGAATTTCTCTAAATTCATTGTGGACAGAAACGGGGTCCCAGTAGAGAGATTCGGGCCTACAGTCGAGCCTAAGGATATAGAGCCTTATTTGGCTAAGTATTGGTGACATCAACTTGATGAATCGCTTATTTTATTGAGTTTCGCAGGACTGGCTATGTGCATTATTGGTATTATAATACTTTTTATATTTATAACTTGGGCGTGTTACGCCAATATATTTTAAAGAGTCATTTTTGACCAAAAATATTGCATTTAAACATGAAACAGTGCATGAAAGTGGTGGTTTACCGTATATTTCAATTAGTTGGTTTTATAGGAGTCGTTTGACCCGTTTGTACCGAACCCTGTACATTTTGTTGTTTTTATTAATTTTATCTTATAAAAATAATTCTTAAGTTTTCTTTTTGTTTTAATTATTTTTATTTTTTTGCAATAATATATGTATGATTATTTTTCTAATTATTTACAAATAATACGTTACACAATGTAGGTACTAACAAGGCACTTTATACGACGAAATTGTAAAAATATAAACACTTATCATGTAGGCTCCCACATTTATTTATTATATATATATATATATATATATATATATATATATATATATATATAT